GAGATCCGCCTGGCTCTGCCTCCCGAGTGCTGGGATTAAAGGCGTGCGCCACCACCGCCCGGCGAGGGAAGAGTTCTTAAATACAGGCTTACAGTACAATGGGAGAACCCCAGAGGGCAGAAGTTCGCTACAAATGTTTTACAATCTTGTATCTAGGCTGTTAACACCCATTATGCAGGATACATAGACAAGGAACTTCCCTTAAGCATTCAGGAGGGTGGAATCGACAGGGAATTAGCATAGGGAGGATATCAAGGTCAAGGTCAGCAAGCAAGACAACAGTTACCCAAAATGGGGACCAGGGCCCTACAGGTCCCCTTTTTACTAATAAATGAGCTTCTGACTTAGGTTGCATGGGACGTCAGCAGGTCACCTTACCCATCATGGAGACGCCTGCCCAGGCCACATAGGCTCTCTGTCTTAGGTTGGTGAGTGCACCCCAGGCATTACCCATCTCTGAATACTCATTATCATACAGGCTCAATCATGTGTGAGCTGCAGAGCCTACTGCTGCCAAAGATCTCAAAGTGGCACTGGGCTTGCAATCTGTGTGTTCGACACAGAAAAGACCAACAGAGGTCCTAACCCACCCATAGCCAGTAGGTTAAAGGCAACTGAGCCATTCCCTTCTTTAACAAGCCTTACTGCAAATTGGAGTTCTTGTAAGATGGTATCCCAAAGGCAAATGAAACTTGAGTTTATAAATTTATAATTTTCAAAGCCAATCGAAATGTATATAACTATTGAATTAAATTTATCATGCCTGATAGAATGAAAGATTAACTAACTGTGGTAGCTACTTTTGCTGCCAGGGTCTCCATTGTGCTAGCTGTAGTAAGCAATTATGAAATGGTAATCCCAGAAACAGTAGCAGTGGTGGCTGCCATTGCTATAACAGCAACAATGGTAGCAGCAATGTCAAATTCTCTTCTGGAGTGTGTGGACATCCACTGGCATGGATACAACTCCAGGAACACAAACCAGGCCCATTTTTCTTGATCCCAGCATGACTTAAGCTGGCAGCTCTTCTGGAGAATCCAACCTCATGGCTACAGTTCCTAGGCTTACATTAATGCTTACCAAAGCTGGCCATATTGGGCTCTCAATCCCCATTGGCATAAGAAGGGTAGAGTTTTTCATGAAGGTGAGGTCTCTGTCATATTGGGTTTCAGCAGCAGCCACAGGGAGCGTTCAGTGCTCAGAAGTCCAAAGAGGAACCTCATTGTCCTGGGGAAAGACATAAACCAAACTCCAGGGCCACACCAATACTAGATTGGGTCTCCTCCACATGCTAGTAGAAAGATCCTTCCATCACTCCAGAGGGTGATTTGCAACAGGAGCCCTCCAGTACTTATCTGTAGCGGATACTCCAGCAGAATCCACTGATAAAAAATTTTAAATATATAAAACAAGGGAAAGAATAGAATGTGGAGAGGAATGATAAGTCCCTAGTTCCCCCTTTTTTTTTTACTTTAGTAAAATATGTTTGTTTGTTTGTTTGTTTAATAGTTCAAATTTTTATTTTTTTTATTTTTTAAAATTAATTAATTAATTTATTTTTCTATTGTCAGCTTGATATAGTATGTATTCTTATCTTAATAGTGAAATGTTTCATTGAGGCTTGCTCAGTAATTGAGTAAAATTGAAATTTATTATAAGCCACAGTTGTCCTAGGGACCTCCATGCTATATATATAGCCTCCATGGTTCTGTGGGTTGTAGTCTGATTGTTCTTTATTTTATATCTAGAATCCACTTATGAGTGAGTACATACAATGTTTGTCTTTCTGGGTTTGGGTTACCTCACTCAGGATGATTTTTTTCTTGTTCCATTCATTTGCCTGCAAATTTCATGCTTTCATTGTTTTTCTCTGCTCAGTAGTACTCTATTGTGTATATGTATCACATTTTCTTAATCCATTCTTCAGTTGACGGGCATCTAGGTTGTTTCCAGGTTCTGGCTATTACAGAGACTCTTACTCTACAAGAAAATCCAACTGAGAGCTAGAAGTGGTGGCTCATATCTATAATCCCAGCACTTGCAAGGCAAAGACAGGAAGATGAGTTCTAGGTTTGTGTAGACTACGTAGTAAGCTCCAGGCCAGTTTGTGCTACACTGTGAGACTCAGTTTTTTTTTTTTTTAAAAAAAGGGATTTGGGAGAAGTGTTAGGAAGATAGCTCAATTGGTAAAGTGTTTACTGTAGAAGAATGAGTTTGAGTTTGATTCCTAAAACCACGTTTTAGGATTTTATTGCTGTGAAGAGACACCATGACCAAGGCAACTTTTGTTTTTGTTTTTTGTTTGTTTGTTTGTCTGTTTTCGAGACAGGGTTTCTCTGCAACAGCTCTGGCAGTCCTGGAACTCAGAGATTCACCTGCCTCTGCTTCCCAAGTATTGGGATTAAAGGCATGTACCACCACTGCGCGGGTAAGCAACTTTTTTAAAAATGAATTATTTTATTGGTGTTTTGCTTGCATGAATATCTGTGTGAGAGTGTCAGATTCCCTGGAACTGGGGTTACAGACAGGTGTAAGCTGTCTGTATGGGTGCTGGGGATTGTACCTGGGTCCTTTGGAAGAGGAGTCAGTGTTCTTAACTGCAGATCTGTTTCTCTAGCTCCCACAGCAACTCTTTTTTTTTCTTATTTTACTTTAAAAATATGGAATGCTTCATGAATTTGTGTGTCATCCCTGTGGAGGGGCCATGGCTAATCTCTGTGTTGTTCCAATTTTAGAATATGTGCTGCTGAAGTGACCACCCAGAGCAACCCTTATAAAGGAAAACATTTAATTGGGGCTGGCTTACAGATTCAGAGGTTTAGTCTATTATCGCCATGGTGGGAAGCATGATAGCATGCAGACAGATATGGTGCTGGAGAAGTAGCTGGCAGTTCTGCATCTTGAGACGCAGGCAGCAGGAAGAGACAGTGAGACACTGGGCCTGGCTTGAGCTTCTGAAATTCGGAGTCTACACCCCCTACCCTGTCACACTTCCTCCAACAAGGCCACACCCACTCCAACAAGGCTGCCCCCTCCCAATAGTGCCACTTCCTATGGCCCTATAAGGGACCATGTTTTGGTTTTGTTTGTTTGGTTTTTTTTTTTTTTTTTTGTCTGTTTGGTTGGATTTCTCTGTGTAGTTTTGGTGCCTGTCCTGGATCTCATTCTGTAGAACAGGCTGGCCTCGAACTCACAGAGATCCCACCTGGCTCTGCCTCCCCAGTGCTGGGATTAAAGGCGTGCGCCGCCGCCGCCGCCGCCGCCGCCGCCGCCGCCGCCGCCGCCGCCACCGCCACCACCACCACCACCACCACCACCACCACCCGGCGCCTCTGACTCTTATGTGCTGGGATTAAAAGGATGCACCACCATCACCTGGCTATAGGGATCCCTTTTATTCAAACCACCACAAACCACATTAAGAGGAAAAAAAAAAAAGGCTGGGCATGGAGAGTATGATTGCAATCCCATGGTTGAGGACACAGGGATAGGCAGATCCCTGGTCTCCTTGGCAAGCCAGATGAGCTAACTGATGAGCTTCAGGTCAATGAAAGACCTTGTCCCAAAAGCAAGGTGGAGAGCACTGCACTGGTGGTTTAAATAAGAATGCCCTCCCTTCCCTGTAGACTCATGTATTTGATTGCTTAGTCACCAAGGTGTGGCACTATATGAAAGGAATAAAAGGTGTGTGCTGTGGATATCGTTCTGTATAAACAAAACACTGATTGGCCAGTGGCCAGGCAGGAAGTAGGCAGGACAAGGAGAGGAGAGTTCTGGGAAGTGGAAGCCTGAGTGAGGGAGACACTGCCTGCCGCTGCCATGACAAGAAGCGTGTGAAGATGCCGGTAAGCCACAATCCATGTGGCAAGGTATAGATTTATGGAAATGGATTAATTTAAGCTATAAGAACAGTTAGCAAGAAGCCTGCCACAGCCATACAGTTTGTAAGCAATATAAGTCTCTGTGTTTACTTGGTTGGGTTTGAGCGGCTGTGGGACTGGCAGATGACAAAGATTTGTCCTGACTGTGGGCCAGGCAGGAAAACTCTAGGTATAGGTGTGGCCTTGTTGGAGGAAATGTGTCACTGGGGATGGGCCTTGAGGTTACAAAAGCCCATGCCAACCCCAGTGTCTCCCACACTGACTCACATCAGGATGCAGAACTCTCAACTACCTCTCCAGCACCATGTCTGCCTGCATGCAACCATGCTTCCTGCCATGATGATAATAGACTAAATCTCTGAACCTGTAAGCCAGATTCAATTAAATGTTTTCTTTAAGAATTGCCATGTAATAGAATATTATTTTAAGGTGTGTTACTTTTGTTTATGTTGCATTTGTTTAACTCTGTGAAGCTGTGATACTGTGCCTGTCTAAAACACCTGATGGTCTAATAAAGAGCTGAACAGACAATAGTGAGGCAGGAGAGAGAAATAGGCAGGTCTGGCAAGCAGAGAGGAAATATGGAAGAAGAAAAGAGATAGAGGAGTGAGAGAAGTAGTCATAGAAGGAGGAGGACCTAGGGGCAGTCACTCAGCTATACAGAAGTTTTCCTGTGTCCCGCCTGGTCCTCAGCTGCTCAGACCCAAGTAAACACACAGAGGCTTATGTTAATTAAAACTGCTCAGCCATTAGCTCAGGCCTATCACTGACTAGCTCTTACACTTAAACTCAGCCCATTTCTGTTAATCTATATGTTGCCATGTGTTCCATGGATTTACCTGTGTGCCATTACATGTTGCTTCTGGACAGCAGGCTGGTGCTGGCATCTCCTCTCTCAGCCTTCCTCTTCTCAGAATTCTCCTTGTCTGTTTATCCTGCCTATACTTGCCTGGCTACTGGCCAATCAGCTTTTCATTTATCAACCAATCAGAACAACACATTCACAGCATACAGAACATCCCACAGCACCCAGCCATGGAGTAAGAGTAAGATTTACAGAAGTAAAAGAATGGGAAAAGCCCAGAGGCAAAAGATAGATGGGATAATTTAAAGTTAAGAAAAGCTGGCAAGAGCCGGGCGGTGGTGGCGCACGCCTTTAATCCCAGCACTCGGGAGGCAGAGCCAGGCGGATCTCTGTGAGTTCGAGGCCAGCCTGGGCTAC